CGGCGGGAGCGCCACTGCGCTCCCAAGCAGCGCACTCTCCAGTGCGCCACCGGGCCAGCCCTGTCCAAAGTCTTAAACCCTCCGAAGTCTTCTCCTCTCACTCAAAATAAAATCCCAAAGCTCACACATGGCCTGAGACGGTGTCAGCTGGCTCCCGCCAAACTCTGCCACTTCACCTCCTTCAGCGCTCCTTCCTGTTCCTCACCCTCTAGCCACACCAGCCTTCCTCCTGCCCCCTGAACACACTACACTTTTTCCTGCCTCAGGGCCTTTGCCCATGATGCTCCCGCTATTCAGGATACTCCTCAGATCTCAGTGTCTGAAACACTCTTTCCTCACACCTTTGCCTCGTCAGCTCTTCTTTATCATCAGGACTCAGGCCCACTGTCCCATCCTCAAAGAGGCCTTCCTTGACCATCCTGCTTAATGTTCCCTCATTTACTCTTGTTCGACCCCAGCATTTCCTTTCTCTACAGTACCTATGACCATCTGAGATTTGTCATATGGGTTTCTGGACTGTTTCCTAGCCTTGCAGGTGTTTGGCAATCCTTGCCGAGTGACAGAATGTGAGCAAGCATGGAGACAAACAAGTGGCAGGGAGGTGGTCACCCCTCACCCCGGCCTCTGGACTGCCCAGACTGCCCTGCCCGCCCACCTGCCTGCCCCGTGCTCACCGGGAAGGCCAGCTGGCAGATGGGGCCCATCCACGCCTGGCGGTGCTGCGCAGCCAGCAGGTGGCTTCGCTCGGTGGTGGTGAGCAGGAAGGCATCAGTGTCCCGGGGGCAGCTCTCACCATCGGCCGGCAGCACGGACACACAGTCAGCCAGGCGGATAACTCGCCGCTCACCCCGTCGGCCAGGCCCTGTGGATCTGTCACCCACTGGCCCCTGACCTCCATCCCGGACCTCCCAGCTCTCCAGCCGTGCCACGCCTGATGGGCCTCCTGCATACAGCAGAGCCCACACCTTCCGCCAGGACTTCTGTGGGGGTAGGAGCGGGTGAGGGGAAGGAGACCCTCAGGTGGCAGATTCTCCCTGCTGCTCAGATCAGCACAAGCTGCTCAGCAAACATGCTAGGCCTCTCAGGCTGGGCTCTGCCTTCTCCTACTTCTCTGGGAGCCAGGGATGGTGGCCTCGGCAGGGCCAGGCCGGGTAGAGGGAAGAGACTGCTTGGTGCTGGTCAGCCATGGGTTCAAATCCCACTCCACCGTTTCCTGTGACCTCCAGTGGCACCAGTGTTCTCATCTCTCAAAAGGCCATCAGAACATGAGGTTGGGACTTCTAATGGATCACATCTATAAAGTATCTAGTGGTAGGCGCAGACCACCTGACACTGTTATGTTA